GCCCACTTGGCTCCAGCTGTCGGCCTCGCACAGCGCGGCAGCGTCGGGTTTCACCGGCACCGCTCCGCCAGACCAAATATAGCGTCCTGCCTTGGCCCACCGCCGGGCAGGGGAGGCGGAGGGAAGCTGCTGCCATGCAGACCCTCTACTGCCCAGGACAGGAGGTGGGCACCGGTGGGATGGGGAGCCCACGGGGCAGAGCAAGGCAGGTTTCCTCCTCTCCCAAGACTGCGTTCCCAAATCTACCGGGACCCCAAACAGAGCACAGTCTGCCACATCTTCCCCACATCCAGGCAGAGGCTGCTGAGGTTTGGGTTGATGGCTGTTTCAAGCTCCTTTCTTGCTTATTCTTTGCTCGTGTGCAAAGAAGGGCAACCAAACTGGTGAGGAGTCTGGAGCATGTCTTATAAAGAATGGCTGGCGGAACTGGAGGTGCTCAGCCTGGAGAAAAGGAGGCTGAGGGGAGACCTTATAGCTCTCTACAACTATCTGAAAGGAGTCTGCAGGAAGGTGAGAGTCGACCTGTTCTGTCACATAACAAGTGACAGAACAAGAGGAAATGGCTTCAAGTTGCATCAAGGGAAGTTCAGATTGGATATTACAAAGAATTTCTTTACTGAAAGGGTCATCAGGCATTGAAACACATTACCCAGGGAAGTGGTGGAGTCCCCATCCCTGGAGGTATTTAAGGGTGGCGTAGATATAGTGCTCAGGGACACAGTTTAGTGGTGGGCTTGTCAGTGTTAGGTTAATGATTGGACTAGATGATCTTACAGGTCTTTTCCAGTCTAGGAGATTCTGTGATTTGTGTCACATCTTTTCATTCCCAGCCCACAGGGAACCAGCGCCATGTGCCAGGAGAGTTGTGGGGTGGCAGAGGTGCTGTGTGTGTATGTGGTATTCACCTCCAATGGCTGAGCATGTGCCACACGGCAGAGGCATCGCTGTGGTCACACAGCCACAGGTAAGAGCCTGGGACCGCAGCGAGGGTCTCAGTGCTGAAGGCAGGCAGCGCTGGGGACATTTGGATTAAGCTATACAGCAGTTCCTTGGCAGCTCTGTAGGGTTGCGCACCACACCACCTTCTCCAATGCAGCTCAGCAATGGTGTGGGAGCAATGAAGGTGCACAAACCCGGCTAAAACAAGCCCCTGGGTGCCCCGCACCCAGAGCCAGCCATAAAAACGCAAAGCCAGGAGGCTGAGGCTGTGCCCTGTGCAAGCCCATCGTGCTGCACAAACCAGGCGCACATCTCCCCTCTAACAGCTTAGTCACGCCAACAACCGGGGTCATGCTCGCACCACATTAACAGCTCAACATTTACTCAGAAAACTTTATTGTATCAAAATCCCACCTTACAAAAGTGCAAAGAAGAGTTGCTTTAGGCCCTGTGCCCACCACACAGCAGGGAGAGCAGGGCCAGCAGCCAGCGTCCAACGCCCCAGCAGCAGTCAGAGGAGTCAGCCACCTTCTAACAGCAGCGGCCTTGCCCTGCGCTGCCACAGAGGTAGCAAAGTGGGCTCTGCTGTGCCGAGATGCTGGCACAGACTGGTGCATGAGGAAATGCAGCATGGGCAGCAAGAGCTTCTGCCATTAGCAAATGACATGGACAAAAGCCCCCAGGGAGTAGGAAGCAGGACAGCAGCACAAGGTCTCCGTCTCCTTCCCGGGCCAGCCCCAGGATACGCTCCCACCTATCACAAGCGACATCCCAGTGCAGTGCAGGAGAGGAACCAGCACTTTCTTCCCAGGTGCCGCACCCTCACCCCCTTTAAGAATTCTGCATGTGGGATAAAACTTTGTGAGTTAATCAGAAACTGAGCACAGTGACTCTTTACAAGGAACTGAGGGGGAATTCCTTCCCCCACACCATCCTCCTGGGACATCACCACGTGCCCTCCTATTCTGTGCACAGCTCCCCAGTGGCACTGGTTCTAGCCATTGCCAGTCAGGAGCCGGACCAGTACGCCCACCAGAAGGACAGCAACAGCGGTGGCAGCAGCCAAGACGCGGCGGACGATCAGGGCCCTCCATACCACAGCAGGAGGGGCAGGGATGACAGCAGTCTCCTCCTGTGTGATGAGCTGGCGGTCAGGTTGCCTCTCACCTCCCACGATGCTCTCAGGCAGGACCACAGTGTCCATGGTGTCCGTGTCAACGGAGATGTAATCTGTGCAAGAGAGGCGAGTGCTGCTGGGAAGCCGAGCTGCTAAGTCAGGGGATCCCAGTCTGATGCTGCGCAAGCGCTAGTGACAGTCCTGAGGGTCCTTTCCCAAGGCTCAGGGACACCGGGACATACCACAGCAGAGTGCCAGGTGTTCCCAGGTTAGGCAGACACTGGCTGGCAGTCCAGGCTCTTCCCCGGAGCAGTCAGGGCGGTGACAGGGGTAACGGGTACCTTGTACCCCATTATTAAGTACAGAAGTGCTACTGGCCTGGGACCAGCACTAGACACTGCTCTTTGAAGCCACCTGGGCCTGCAGGGCAGACATGGCTGCCATGACTGTGAAGGAAAGGAAGGGTTGGGTGGAGAATTTGGGCTCTCTCCCTTTTGTCGGGCCTGGCTACATACCCACAGCAGATGTTTTGTTAGCAGCTGTGCCATTGGAGTTCACATCTTCCAGTTGTTTTTTCCGTCCAGCACGGACTTGAGCCTAAAAACACACAGAAGAGTTGCTCTTCTCAGAGCAAGGGTGTCCTGCCCAGCCAAGCAAACCCGAGCCTCCTCCCTCCGCCCTCCCAAAGCAAGCACGCTCAGCACCAAATTGCCGCTGCAAGGACAGCTTCCTCTCGTTTCACTTTTGCCTCCCCCCCCCAGAGGGCTGTGGCATGGTACTGGGACGGGAACCCACCTAACGCCTTTTAGAAGTTACTAGAAGCACAAATCTCACCTCTTCTGCAGCTTTTTTCCAATCCATGCGCATGACAAAAGCCAAGAAGGAAAGGGCTTGCAGGGAGATGCAAACGATCATCCCCACCCACAGACCTGCAGAAATGGAGAGTTATTTCAGGGAGGATTTGAGGAAAACCTGCTTTTGCCAGCCAGTGCCAAAAGGCCCAAGGACTTCAGTGGGGTCAGATTGTCACCCCATGTCTAATCCAGTCTTGATGGGAGAGGAAACAGCTCCTGGGAGGGTCCTATGCTGGGAGCAAGCCTGGATTTACTGGGACACCCCAGCCCTCCCATCGGATGGAGGCTACTCAGAGCTTGCCTCAGCGAAATACTTCAGTCTGCGATCCAGCCCCACCGATACGAAGGAAGATCTGAGCACAATTTCAAGGACTGAGCCTTTGCTGAAGGCACGGGGTTTGGCCCAGCAGAGGTAGTGCTGGCAGCTCATACAAAGCCAAATGGAGGACACACATACCTACCACCCCCATCTTAGCAGCAAACATGAGTGAGATGCCGATGGGCAGGCCGATGGCATAATAGCCAATGGCGTTGGCGATAGCACCCATCTTCTGCTTCCCTGTGCCTCGCAGCACACCACCACAGGTCGCCTATAGAAAGCAGGCAGAGGGATCAATATATGGGACAGCAGATGCTACGGAAGGTACCACCACAGGAACTCTGGGGAATGGCACGGGCCTGTGAATCGAGACCCCATCTGGAGTACTGTGTCCAGCTCTGGGGCCCCCAACATAGGAAAGACATGGGCCTGTTAGAATGGGTCCAGAGGAGGCCACAAAGATGACCAAAGGGCTGGAGCACCTCTTCTATGAGGACAGGCTGAGAGAGTTGGAGTTGTTCAGCCTGGAGAAGAGAAGACTCCGGGAAGACCTTATTGCGGCCTTCCAGTACCTAAAGGGGGCCCACAGGAGAGCTGGGGAAGGACCTTTTACAAGGGCATGTAGTGATCGGATGAGGGGGAATGGCTTCAAACTGGAAGAAGGTAGATTTAGATTAGATACTAGGAAGAAATTTTTCACCATGAGGGTGATGAGGCACTGGAACAGGTTGCCCAGAGAAGCTGTGGAAGCTCCATCCCTGGAAGTGTTCAAGGCCAGGTTGGATGGGGCTTTGAGCAATCTGGGCTGGTGGGAGGTGTCCTGGCCTATGGCAGGGGGTTGGAACTCAATGGTCTTCAAGGTCCCTTCCAACCTAAACCGTTCTATGATTCTATGGGGAACCCACAGCACTGTCCTGCAGAGCCAGGATGGACCAAAGCCACATCACAGAGCACGTGGTGCAGGGCTCCTCTGGTTCCAGCTGCCAACCCTGGTGCAGAACGTGGCACTGTTTGCAGACACCAAGAGGTGTGCCAGCAGAGGGACGGTGCCCCAGAGCGACACTGCCTGGGACGTGACAGGAGGAAACAGGTTGGATTTACTATCTAATGAGTTGTACGAGCACTGCCACTACGCGGTGAGTACCTGACAACTCTGAAGACCCAGCTGCTCACTTGTGCTGCTCTGACACGCTAGTAAAGAGCTGAAGCCTTGCCAGGGGAAAAAGGAGAACTGGGTTGTTCTGCAGCAATGCCAATGGGCAACTGCAAGCCTAGGGGACACGGAGGTGCTATAGGTGATACAAGCAGCTGCTTTGACAGTTTGCTTCTCCGTATCATTTTAACGGATCAAGAGTGAGCTGGAGGCAGCTTTGCACTCTCCATTGCACCCCAACC